GACAACTCAAAGTTATAGCATCACACAAGGTGTTAAGTGGATCTGTTGTATACCAAATTAACTATGCTCATAAAGGATATTAGTACATTATATAATATGAACAAGTTACTACTACTGTTACAGCTATGGTGCATAAGTTATACACAATCATTTGCTTCTTCTAAACAATAACAAAACATTAACTGTTATTACATAAAAAGCCTGTGTCAATTCCATCTTAGAAAAGTAACAACACATATCACTGAGTACAGAATAAACATCCTGTTTTCACTGTAAGTCACAAAAATGTAGGGTGTCTGTTAAATATCTGTTAGCATAGTCAAGTATTTACAAGTGCAAACTCTTTGATATTTTCTGTTAATTTGGGATACTTGCTATAGAAATTAATTATATTTTATAATATACCTTGAAACTATGCTAAATCTTTGAAATGACTACAAGAAGAGTATTAACAATACTATGCTTTTAAGATTTGTGAGTAAACAAGAATGTAAAATTAAACAAATAACAACCTGTATTAAGAGAATGTATCTTTATTGGCTCAGTATATTACTATTTCAGCTTCATCAGGAGCTTACCAATTCAGCTTACAAACTAACAAATTCAGTAATCTAGTTAAGTTACAGTGAACTTTTGGGTTATTGATATCTCCTGAGGAAGTTGAAATAGTTAAATGTTCAGCTAATAAAGATATATTCTGGAGATACAGGTTGTTACTTTATTCACATTAATAGAAATGTATCATAACAAGCTCCACTTTTAAATGAAACTAAATTAATAAGAGGAGTGTTCAACTTACAAAACATCATACGGGTTAGAAAATAACATTAAAATCCTAAGAAAAATCACAAAGTACACAAGTTAAAACACCAATGAAAGAAACTGGTATTTGAAATCAACTTTCTTTCACATGTGCAAGCTATTTTATACATCCATGCACATTAAACTATAATAGATTTTGAAACTCAAAAGTTAGATCATTAAAAATAAACTTGAAATGTCAGATGTCAGAGGATCCTAGAAAAAAAATTTAAAGTAGGTTACTTTTGTATCCTAGTAGTTTGTAATGCCTTTTTCAAATTTTAATTGTGAATATGCTTTCCAAGTAACTTATACTGAATAAAAAAAAAATAATGATAGAACTTGTGGATTTCAGTGTCTTCTTATAAGTTTTATGAATCTACTATGCAAGAAAAATATCTTTTCAGTATACAAAAACCTAAATAATTTTCAGTGTTTTACTTAAAATAGAAAGGTGATCATAAAACAACAAACAGAACCTTTATTATGAAATGTTTTGCTATAAAAATTTACATAAGAAATTGAACATAAGAATAGTTCATCTAAACTTATGTCTTCCCAATAAGTTGGATATGCAATATAATCATGAAAAGCTGCATTATTAGTGAATACCTTAAATAACTATACTTTATGTGCTTTACAAAACTTCAACTATTAGAAACAAAACATTGATTGGGAAGAAATATTTCAAATATTTCCTGTAACTCAGATACTTTTTTTTATTTTGAATTCCAAAAATTAATTCTATTTATAAAAGATATACTTAGGTAATATGAACTTAGAAATTGTTTTTTTTTAAGAGGAAATAATCATAGATCTGAATAAGAGCCATGACTGTTGTTGATATATATATATATATAAATATTTATATACTTTCATCTAAGTGGAGATTCAACTACTTTGAAGTATTAGATTTAAGATGTTTTCTGCTTTAAAAAAACACTGAATTAATTTATTATAGTTTCTACTTTACACCCACCTTCGTTGGGAAGAGTTCTCTAATACCAGAAATCAACAACCATATACTTAAGGTCACCTACAATTTTTAATTTTGTTGAAATATTCATCATTTTTATTTTCTTGCTTTTTTCTCCAGGAAAAAAAAAAGTGCTATTAATGTTCAGGATAGACTGAAGGGATTGGCTGCTTGCAACAATACATCAGCTGCTTAGCATCATTTTGATGGTAATTTCAATAATGTACATATCTATTAAAAATGTGCCTTTTTTAAGAGCAGCTTCAAAGCTGCCAAATATTGCAAGCAATTGTACCCTCCTAATGACATTTCCTTGGCAACAGTTTATTCATATTGACTCTTAAGTTTAAGATTGTGGCCCTGGGGATGAAGATCTCGCATCAGTCGAGTTTGGTGACGAAGGGCTATCCACCTGATTTGGACCGAGAGGTTTTTTAGTTCTTATCATACGATCTAACTCTGCAACAGCATCATTCCTCACTGCTGATTTCTCTGAAATAGTAAAATGTTTATGACAACTCAAAGAGGGTATTCATCAGCTCTTGTAAGTTAAGTGATTGTTTTTGAAAGAGCATACCAACAAAATCATTAAAATACATAATCCAAATATGATAATGCATCTTAATAACTTCTAAACAATAGACATTTTTTTAACAAATCCTATGATAACATTTAACTTAAAAACGTATAGTAATTAATAAATGTTTATACTAGAATATATTTTCTTAAATGTTAATGTACTAGTATGGCACAGTTTCCACCTTTTATCAAGCAAAATTGTTAAGGAGTTTTCAAGAATTTTTGAGTTCTATGTTCACAATTTTTAAGGGACAAAAAACAAAAGAAGTCTTGACATTCAGCTATTTTAATAGCACAAAAACCCCAGATACAATTACTAAATAGAAATGTCAATTTTCTAGCTTTATCATTTGAAAAATTAAATCAAATGATTTGGAAGTAGGTAACAACTACTCAATCTTCAATTTAAAATCAATGCTGTAACAATGTACTATGATAAAATAATTTTAAAATGATAACTAATATCCAATGATTCCTGAAAATAAATTGTATATTTAAAACTGTAATAATGCACAACTCATAAGTCATTAAATACAAGATCAAATTGTGAATATAACCTAACTTTCACCAGAGAAACTTTGTACACCAATAATGTCTATAGTTTTTACAAATTAAAGCCCCACACAAATGTTGCATAAGATAGGTATTTCAAGCTTTCTTTAGGCAATGTCAGCTATATCATCATATAGAGCAGATGTTCATTAACATTAGCTCAAGAAGTCTATATTCCAAAATTACCTGGAGTTCGGAGCGATCCTGGTGATCCTGTCCCAGGTCCTGTCTTTCTATTCAGCAGACTATTGAAAAAGTTTTGTAAAACCCCTTCACTTCCAGCACCTCCTTTGGCTCCATCGATCTAAGTATTTAAGAAAATCTGTTATTGTGGCAGGAACAAGTACTATATCAAAAAAACTGTGAATAAGCTTCACACTTAGGCTTGGTTATTTATTTTCTACAAAGAGAAAATTCAAGCATTTTTAAGCATTGTTATTTAGTTCATTCATATTAAATGTTCCTTGTACTTATGTATGTCTTGTTTGATATTTAAAGGAGAAAAATGAAGTGCAAAAATTAAAATGCAGTAAAAAATTTAGTAGTATGCATAACTTTTAAATATGTATTATATATCATTTGCTTTGATTATTGAACTTGTACTTCAATAATAACATTTATCATATCATAATTTATTATTAAAAAGTGTTAATTAATAATTTTGAATTATCATAAGTTTTAAGGAAAAATAACTCCGTGAGAGAAGAAATATACAGTAGTTAAATGTGTAAAACAGGTGATTTTTGAATAATATCCATAGTGTGTCATTAAGACACTTAACTTCAATGCTATATCGGTATTTATGACACCTATAACTGATTTCACATATAAATATTCCATAATTACCTTCTTCAAGTCTAACTACAGGAAATGCTAATACTGTTTGAGAAGCCACAGAAAACCCTGTGAATGCTTTAAAATTATGTCTAATAAAAAGTTAATCACAAGGTTGAAATATGAACTGCAACAGTATTATATGTTTTATTATAGCAATAGTTTAAATTGAATGTTTTTCTCTATTAATAGAGAGCACTCTGGATGTTAATTTTTTTTTAAGTTGCCTTTAACAGAAATAAATATTACTAAGTATAAAAATGCACAGAAACACTATGATTGGATCAATACAAGGTAGATTTAGATATTAATATAATCAGTTAAGATACCCATGTTGAAATGATTTCCAACATTTTATGAACAATGAATACAGAAAACTTGAAAATAAAGTTGAAATAAAGAATTCATTTAAATACTTTTAGTAAAATACTTAAAAATGATTCTACCCAAAAATACTAACAACTATATTTGTTTTATGTTGTATTAAGTTGGTTGGTTGGTTGGTGTTTTATGGCGCAAAGCAGCTAGGCTATCTGCGCCAAACAACCGGTAAAAGCAAGGAAAGTAGATTAAAGTAAAATGTAAAAAAACAGCAAGTTAAAAATCAATAGATGTCGGTAAAAGATTTATATAGAATTAAAAAGACGTATAGTGT